GGTTGCAGCGGTTGCAGCTGGGACCGGACTCTGGCGCTCCATCACTGTCCTGAAATCATTACTCTGTATTGTTTTAGAAAAAAAAGACTGAAACTGACAATAAACAAAAATGTATCAGTACTTGTATCTGTGAGTACTTTGGCAAGTATCGGTACTTGTACTTGAAAAAATGGTATCGGTGCATCACTTATATACAGTGGGGCAAAAAAGTATTTAGTCAGCCACCAATTGTGCAAGTTCTCCCACTTAAAAAGATGATAGAGGCCTGTAATTGGCATCATATGTAGACCTCAACTATGAGAGACAAAATGAGAAAACAAATCCAGACAAATCACATTGGCTGATTTGGAACCAATTTATTTGCAAATTATGGTGGAAAATAAGTATTTGGTCAATATCAAAAGGTCATCTCAATACTTTGTTATATATCCTTTGTTGGCAATGACAGAGGTCAAACGTGTCCTGTACGTCTTCACAAGGTTGGCACACACTGTTGCTGGTATGTTGGCCCATTCCTCCATGCAGATCTCCTCTAGAGCAGTGATGTTTTGGGGCTGTCGCTGGGCAACACGGACTTTCAACTCCCTCCAAAGGTTTTCTATGGGGTTGAGATCTGGAGACTGGCTAGGCCACTCCAGGACCTTGAAATGCTTCTTACGAAGCCACTCCTTCGTTGCCCGGGCGGTATGTTTGGGATCATTGTCATGTTGAAAGACCCAGCCACGTTTCATCTTCAATGCCCTTGCTGATGGAAGGAGGTTTGCACTCAAAATCTCACGATACATGGCCCCATTCATTCTGTCCTGTACACGGATCAGTCGTCCTGGTCCCTTTGCAGAGAAACAGCCCCAAAGCATGATGTTGCCACCCCCATGCTTCACAGTAGGTATGGTGTTCTTTGGATGCAACTTAGCATTCTCTCTCCTCCAAACACGACGAGTTGCGTTTCTACCAAATAGTTCTATTTTGGTTTCATCTGACCATATGACATTCTCCCAATCCTCTTCTGGATCATCCAAATGCTCTCTAGCAAACTTCAGACGGGCCCGGACATTTCCTGGCTTAAGCAGGGGGACACGTCTGGCACTGCAGGATCTGAGTCCCTAGCGGCGTAGTGTGTTACTGATGGTAGCCTTTGTTACGTTGGTCCCAGCTCTCTGCAGGTCATTCACTAGGTCCCCCCGTGTGGTCCTGGGATTTTTGCTCATCGTTCTTGTGATCATTTTGACCCCACGGGGTGAGATCTTGCGTGGAGCCCCAGATCGAGGGAGATTATCAGTGGTCTTGTATGTCTTCCATTTTCTAATTATTGCTCCCACAGTTGATTTGTTCACACCAAGCTGCTTGCCTATTGCAGATTCAGTCTTCCCAGCCCGGTGCAGGTCTATAATTTTGTTTCTGGTGTCCTTCGACAGCTCTTTGGTCTTCACCATAGTGGAGTTTGGAGTGTGACTGTTTGAGGTTGGGGACAGGTGTCTTTTATACTGATAACAAGTTCAAACAGGTGCCATTGATACAGGTAATGAGTGCAGGACAGAGGAGCCTCTTAAAGAAGAAGGTACAGGTCTGTGAGAGCCAGAACTCTTGCTTGTTTGTAGGTGACCAAATACTTATTTTCCACCATAATTTGCAAATAAATTTGTTCCAAATCAGCCGATGTGATTTGTCTGGATTTGTTTTCTCATTTTGTCTCTCATAGTTGAGGTCTACCTATGATGCCAATTACAGGTCTCTCACTCTCATCTTTTTAAGTGGGAGAACTTGCACAATTGGTGGCTGACTAAATACTTTTTTGCCCCACTGTATATATATTTATAAAAACAAAATCGTACATTAAAACAGAGATGTACAAATCCCGGGAGCTCCGTGTGCTCCTTACTAATGACAGCGGCCTCCTAACTTGTGAATCTTTCTCTAGTGTAGTTTTGGAGCTCAAAGTATCTGTACTTGTACTTGTACTGAGTACAGTACTTGGTATCGGTGCATCCCTATATGTAATGTATGCCGCCTTATGCATGAGCTTTGGGGTTTCTTTCATTCATTTCTAATGGACCGTCATTGTGCATTTCCTCAGTAATCAATGCATCTGAATATACATGTGTGTTGGAATAATAAAAAAAAAAAGGTCAGGTATGTTTTTAGCTGTGTTAGGAACCCATAGGCAGTGTATAGGCATACACCCTTTAAACAGTCATCGCATCAAACAGCTCATGCAGATAGGTGCTGCCCAAGTTCAGATCCTGTAAGCCTTGATGCCAGGTGTGATACAGGGTCCGGAGCAGTGGCATTCCCCAACACGTCCCGCCCCCAGCATGTCCCGCCCTGCTCCAGGCACGTCCCGACAGCCAAAGCCCCACCCCCTGTTGGGGAAGCCACGCCCACAGCCAGATGAAGCCCCAACCAGTCCCTAAGCTAGTGGAAGGGAGGAGCCTCCCTGTCCCTCACTTGCTCCTCACTGCTGAGGCGCTCCGTCCATGACGGGTTACACAGCGGGGATGATTTCCCTGCTGTGTAACCTGTTAAATGCCGATCTGAATGGAGAAAAAGCTGTCAGCTTCAGACAGCAGTTTAAAGGAAAAAGGGAATTTTGGAATCAATTTAGCCATGTATTATTATTATTATAATACTGTGATTTAATTTAATATATGTCTTGTGCGAAGGCTGATACAATGCTGCAGCTGGAAGGACAACGTATTAGCCTCGCTCAGATCCACAAAGCCCAGCTGGAGCTCAGCAGCGAAAACTTCCAGAGTGAAAAGAAGAGCGAGCTGTGCAACTTCAGAGAGACACTTCTCAGAGACCAGGAAGAGAAAATAGGAAAACTACAGGACCAGCACCAGAGGGAGCTAGAGAGACTACATCTGCAAAACACAGGTAGCACCTGCGCGAGAGTACCGGTGTACTATAGGCTTGGTTTGTATATTGATATTAATGAAAGGGTCAGTATACCTCAAACTGATTTAATAATCTGCTGGCTTCATGTATCTTTCTGAATACATTGCACCTGGTTTCTTCTCACCTGACGCAGCCGTTAGACAGGTCTACAGACATGAAATGATAAAACATATACCTTCCTCTTCATTACCTTCTGTAACGAATGTGTGGACTTGAATGTTCCTGTTAAAGTCAATGTAAACCCCAAAACAGAAATGTAATATAGCTTCCCAGTCCTATGATGTAGTTGCTGCATTGGTTTTCTTTTTTTCCTTCAGGCTTTTTTTTCTTCTTTATTTTGACCTGGCGATACTCACTCCCTGTCCCAGGGTGACCATGCTCATTCACTGCACTGAATTAATAGAAAAACAGCGTTGTCACCCTTGGACTACAGAACACCCTACTGATCTCTACATCCTATAAGGGAGGTGTTCTGAAGTTTTACCACATGTGAGATAACACTGCTTGATGTAACACTGCAGAGTGCACAAGACGCAGGCCAGCAGTGTATATCTGGCAGAATCTAGAGGTATTATTTGCATTTGTTGAACATGTATAACAATTTATATAAACATATGAATTTATATTTAAAGCTGAACTCGGGGCACAAGACATTTAATTGAGATAAATTAGTCAATGATCACAAAGGATATATATCCACTTTGTGTGCACCAAATGCTTTTACAAATCCAATTATTTTCTTTTGACGGCATCGCTGTGCTCGGGTGACGGCATCGCTGTGCTCGGGTGACGGCATCGCTGTGCTCGGGTGACGGCATCGCTGTGGTCGGGTGACGGCATCGCTGTGCGCGGGTGACGGCATCGCTGTGCGCGGGTGACGGCATCGCTGTGCGCGGGTGACGGCATCGCTGTGCGCGGGTGACGGCATCGCTGTGCCCGGGTGACGGCCTCGCTATCCCTGTGTATGAGTTGTGGGAGGAACCCAGTAGGCCCCACCCACTACAGGCTCCAATAGTTGACAACTATTCTCATTATCGATTAGTTGGTTGCAGCCCTAATATTTCCGAGAGTCAGTAACTTCTTAGCAGTATTTAAATGATACAGATAGCTGCTGCCTCTTCATAATAATTATTCTTGAACTGGCAGACAACATTGTTCTAAATAGCTTTTCATAAAAAGAGATTCAACAGCCGCATACAATGCGATCTGACAGATCCTGCTTGAATTTCCTTTCATATGTGATAAAATGACGAGTGTCTCCTCCAGTTTCTAGAGCTCACCTCCCCTGTGTCTTGATTGCTCTGCTTACAATCTGCATTTATCATTCGTGTTTCTGCAGGGTGTGAGGAAGCTTCTTGTCTGTATCTAACACAAAGGCTGATGAAGAAAATCTGCGATGAGTGCGCTGATATTATTCAGGTTTGTTATTATGCTAAACAGCCATTATCTAGTCTGTGAAATGTGTCCCTTTCAAATCACTATTGGGGCTGGGGTAGAGTATGATAAATGTTTTTTTTAATTTTTTAGTATAGTAGATCTAAACCCTAACTGGATGACTTTCCATTTGCTAAAACAATGAGAGTCGAAAATAATAGCATTTTTGTCATCCTTTTATCCATCTCAGTTCTGCCAATCTCCTCCATTGTTTGTTTTTCACCCACTTGTCCACATGCAGGCACTTCATTGTTTACTGCACATCATTGCTGTGGACCAGACTTTAGGATGGTAACAGCAGCAGACCGTACCTGTGCAATGTACAGCACAAGCTTTGCTCTTCCATTCTTTGACCCGGTGATCCTGCCAGTTTCGCCCTATTGTAGTATGAATTCTGGGACTGTCTCCAGTAAAGATTTGCAGAAATCTCAGTTTTTAAAATGTATCCAGTTTGGCCAAATTTTGTAGTATGTTTCGTAGTTTACCTTTTTGAAGAATAGTAATCTCTTCCATCAGGTCAACTCTCAATATTGATTCTGCTTCCCTCTATAGTCTTGCAGTGGGTTGATATTTCCAAAGCAGGCTTTTGACTGCATTTAGGAGATGCAGTGGCAATGTTTTCATATACCTAGGAAGAAGGCAGAGATGTCTTGTGGAATAAGAAAGGGTTGTGTGAGAGGGTCTCAGTGGTGGTTTTTGCTTGTCTGTGTGTCCCACCTACTTGGGCACACCGGGTCGCCTACTTGGGCACACCGGGTCGCTTACTTGGGCACACCGGGTCGCCTACTTGGGCACACCGGGTCGCCTACTTGGGCACACTGGGTCTCTGTAGCAGCAAGCTAGAAGGTTGAAATGTCTCCCTGATATATTAGTATTGATGGAAGGGGCATGCATTAGAAGAAGAATTTTGGAGGTATCTCGCTGTTTTAATTGACTCCATTAAAGATGTTAGTTGACCCTACAATTCCCTGCTACTGTAAATGCATATCACTGTCCAACACTGCTACTATGGATTTGCCACATACATGAAATATTATATTGCATTATAGAAAAATGAAGGTTTATCTGTTTGTTTTTTTTCTTTTGGTTCCATCAGGCTGTGCTTGTTGAAGAGACAAAGAAGGAGAACAAGTCACAGCAAGAGAGAAGAGAAGATGAGATGACTTGCAGCACATCCTTATCGCTGCACAAGACCACAGTGCAAAGTAAAGACCTCTGTTATCTTTCTATCAAATAAAAATAACTGATAAAGTTTTACTGCTTGTATTAAAATTATTAGGGCTGGGAAAACTAATATGAATAGAGTTACATTGACCAAGTAGGAGATCACATTGTATCTGGCTACAGGGACAGACCAGCAGGGAGTTTGTGTGATCAGCAAGGCACTACTTTATGAAGCACTACTGAACAGGAAACTGTGCCTCTATGTGTAATAGGGAATTATGGCTGCCTTTATGATCATACAGTATATAATAAATTCTTAGGGAATAGGTTTCTCTTACCGCTCATTGGAGGAAACGGCACACCTCTGGGGTATAAGGTTATATAGAAGAACTTGTTACACTCCTTAATAGAAATTCCAATGATAGGGATGGGTGCTGAAATTACTGTGGATGGCGCCGCTATCACATAAGCATGGTAGGGAAGAATATCGCCAGCACACCAAAATTCCTTTTAGGATAATCATTTGTTCATTTTATTGAAGAGATTGTCAGTTGAAAAACAAGTGCTTTCGGGACCTCATCAATGTTGAGCCTGATGAAGGGACCCTGCGAGGTTCCTAAAGCGCTTGTTTTTCAACTGACAAACTGTTGAATAAAAGGAATTTTGGTGTGCTGATGACATTCTTCTCTACCATACTCTGGGGTATAAGCCCTGCCCTTAGGACAATAGATGCCAATTTTAAGATTCTCCTCCTCTTGGTCTGTAACTCTAAAACAGGAAGATATAATCTGTGTTTCAGCCTAGGATGTTGGACACCGTAGACCCATTGTAGATTTCTAAAAGAATGATGATATTTAGAAGACCAGGCTTCTGACACCTTAGTACATGATTGATAATGTTATTTATAAAAGGCTGATCTTTTTTCATGTGTTTATATAAAAAACATGAAAGCAATCCTGTCATTAAATTTAAACCAAACAGCCATACCTGTAAAAGAAGACTGTCAGTACTTACCCTTGCCTGTCCTGCCAGAATGCAATACTTCCAGAAGTGTCTATCTCTGGGTCCCCCGCAGTGCTCTGTGATTCTTCTGCTGACCGTCATGTGACTACTGTGTCCTATAATACATGGAGGTCAGCAGGAGGTACCAGTGAGATGTACACTCTTAGAAGTGTCGACTTCTTGTGAATGGAGCAATGTTCTGGTGGAGTGAGCAGCTGGATATGTAAATATTTACAGCCTTCTTTTACAGGTATGGCAGTTTGAGGAAGGGGGTTTAGATTGATTAAAATGGTGGCTGTAAAGCCAACCTCGTGCTTCCCCCAATTTAGGGCAGGGTAACATGTTCTCTTTACTTCCCCTTCTCCATCAGCAGCACATACCTTTCCTTCACTCCCCCACTGCTCCATTCAGCAGCTAGGAACGATGAACATACCCAGTACTTCCAGCTATGGAGGAGTATGGAATGCATCTCCTCCATGCACTTGCAGTGCTTCTGCTTGCACATTGGCCCAGTGCTGTCACATGGGGCCCGAGAGAGAGAATCATCAGCCCTGTGTAAGCTCTGGGATAGGATCTGACCGAAGTTTACCTTGGGCTCTTTGTCGGCACTAATTGGCAGTGATGGAGCAAAGGGTAAAGTAAGGATTAGATGCTGTGGGGGGTCTGCTTTAACTTGGACTGCTGCTTGGCCCTGCATGGACAAAACACAGGTTTACTCTGAGGACAAATTCCTGCAGATAAGGCAATATTAGATAAATGGAGATGGAATAAAGTATGGATTAAGGATAAAGTGTAAGCTCATAAGAAAATTACAGAGCAGAATGAGGTAACTCAACCTTCTTGTATCAAAAAGATGTCCAACCATCTGCTGGATAAAAAAACAATTCAGAGCAGAATAAATTTAGTTTGCAGAAAACAAAAACCCTTTATTGGCCAGTACCCAGTATTGTCATGCCTTGCATGTTCCTGTCCTGACCAGTGCTGTCACATTGGGGTGGGAGAGTTCTCGGCCCTGTGTAAGCTCTGAATAGAGAGACCCAGTGCTTGGGAAAGTATGGGGGGGGTGACATTTAAGCTGAGCCTGTTGCCTAATCATGCAATGTGCATGTTCACTTTAAAGACCCTATAGATCCCCTCTACAGCCTCTCAGAGACTGCCGATATGTGCAGCTGGGACAGTAAAAGTGCGGCTCAGGCTAATTTAAGTGGACAAATTGACTTAAAGGAGAATTATGGGGTGGTTGAAAAACACTCATCCCCATAATTTAAGCCGACTTGCGACACTGAACCAGTCACAGGTCGGCTCTATGGATTGGGAAGTTAGCGAACACATACCGCCGATCGCTAACTTCTCCAGCTGTCAATCAACCATCTGGGTGAATCTTTACGGTATAGTTGGGATTCTCAGCATTTAGCAGGCAATAGCCCACTATATACTGAGTTTTGAGACCTTTTAGTATATGTCTTCCTGTGACCCTGAAGAGAACTATGGCCACAAAGGGTTAGGCCATAGTTCTTCTCTAAGCACAGTTGCATCATTTCCTCCTTAATAAAATTAGGGGTTCACTCATTGTGATTATTCTCTGCCTAAAGTTGCTTTTTAAAGTTGAAGTTTAATCTGCTTATATTTTGCTTCCCCCTTTTTTCCTCCTGTCCTTCCCTCATTAAATGCTAATTCATTTTCTAAATCAAAAACATTTTTTTCATTACATACCTTATTTTAAAGTCATAACTGGGTCTCTGTGCTTCCCTGTGCAATGCAAGCAAATCCTAGCTGGTGGTAGGGGCCAACAGGGTGCTGTATATAGCTTCCTAAAAACATCAGCACCCAAGAGCCCTCAACCCGGATTCAAGCAATGAGCTGATCCTTGGGAGGAGTTATGCAAATATCAAAATTCCTTAATGGGTGGGGGGTGGGCATCCCTAGTTAGACTGCCCTAAATAACACCCACCTGTGACGCTGAGCCTCCATAATTGAATAAATGAATGGGACGGACCAGGGACAGCCAGGCTAGGGAGGATTGAGCTAGATGATGCTGGATGGTCCTTGAAATAGGAAATGAGGCGGGCTCTATCTTGCTGCAGCTTCTAATGCGCATTGTGAGAAGCTCACAGCTAATGGGAGTGCTGAGCTCTCTGCTGAGTCCTAATAGAACTCTAGCTGGGAAAGGACAGCATGGAGGTAAGCGCAGTTGACACATTACACTTTCTTTGCACCGTCCATTCCATGGAGATTTCCCGGAGTTCTTCTTTAACATTCAGATTGTACATGACGCAGGAAATTCCCAAGGCTTTTCTCAGTTGTTATTTTGCTTTATTGCAGCTCTGCAGAGCAATCTGAGCACACTGCTGGAGAGGTTTATAGAAGAATACAAACAGATGGCAGATGTATCCGCATATATAAGAAAGGTAAATGCCGTGATCATGTGTTCGGTTAGTATCAGCAGGCCGTGTTGGGCCAATGGATTTCGGCAGATGGCTCATATCATTGAATTCTTTCTTTAACAATTATTACTGTAATTCCACAATCAATATTAGTGTAACAGCCCGATTTCTGTCGTGATAATTCTATTAATCAGCCAAAATAATCATAAGAATTAAGAATATAGGGGTGGGGTCAGGTTAAAGAGTAAGAAAAAAGAAAAGGCTAGTTGCACTCCTTACCGGTATGACCCCGTGATCGGGGAGGGGTGCTCGGAGTGACTGCGGATGGCGCCGCCAAATACAGAAAATTGCAGAAACGTCACCAGCACACCAAATCCTTATAGGATCAAAGTTCGTAGATTTTATTGCAAACTCATGTCAGTTACACAAGCGCTTTCGGGGCCACACAGGGTCCCTTCATCAGGCATAGCAATGGAATGCCTGATGAAGTAACTGACATGAGTTTGCAATAAAATCTACGAACTTTGATCCTATAAGGATTTGGTGTGCTGGTGACGTTTCTGCAATTTTCTAGGTTAAAGAGTAATTCCACTTTCCTAGGTGAATTTGGGAACATGGAATTACCCCCTCCAATTTTTCCCCCCAAAAACCCGCAACCCCAGCCTTTGCTATACTAACCTTTAGGCGAATGCTCCTTCCCCTCCGCCAATGTCGGTGTACTGCCATGTAGTGCAGCCCTGCGCTCTGTATTTTGAATTTCTGCACTCTTAGCAAGAAGCACTTCTCATTGGTCAGCGCGGTCAGAAGTGCTTCTCATTGGTCAGCGCGGTCAGAAGTGCTTCTCATTGGTCAGCGCGGTCAGAAGTGCTTCTCATTGGTCAGCGCGGTCAGAAGTGCTTCTCATTGGTCAGCGCGGTCAGAAGTGCTTCTCATTGGTCAGCGCGGTCAGTTGACCGCACTGATCAATAAGTGCTTGCCATTTGCGAGTGAAATTCAAAATACAGAGCACAGGCCTGCGCTACAGACAGTACACCAGCAGAGGGAAAGTAGTCACCGCTCCAAGCTCTCATAATGGACTACAGCCTCAGGTTTTGTCTACTAATTTGTATTGAGATTGTAGTCCATCACAGGAGTGAGCTTGGAGCTGTGACTACTTTACAACACACACAGGGACCATGGGGAACAAAAGTAGCCCCCCTCCAGAAGGAAGCAGAGTGCCAGCACCAATTCAGAGATGATTTGAGGATCTACAGCCGAGTGATACACAAATAAGATACATTTTGGTTAATAGTTGAATACATTTATAAGATTAGATTAGTGTCACTTTCAAACCAAGCATCAGTTATGCATTTCACCCTAGACGGGCCTCATACCTGCCTGCTTGTAAGGCACACATTCTTACAATACACAACCCACCTGAGAGGGGTGGGCAGTTATCATAATGAACATGCTGAAACCATTACAATGTTGCACAAAACAATTCAGTAAAGAAGCAGCACAAAGTCAGACCGCAACAAATATAACCATAGACATAATTACATTTTAACTAATATAATAAATATGTAAAATCTTTTGCTTAATATGAAAATTAGAGTCTGAAAATCCATAAGACGTCTTCACCTTCGTAACATCTACAAAATACGCCCCTTCCTCACCAATAAAACCGCAAAATTACTCATCCACTCACTTGTTATCTCTCGTCTTGACTATTGCAACTCCCTCCTCATTGGCCGACCTGTACACAGGATATCCCCCCTTCAGTCTATCATGAATGCAGCTGCCAGACTCATCCACCTAACCAACCGCTCAGTGTCTGCATCCCCCCTCTGCCAATCTCTGCACTGGCTTCCACTCACCCAGAGGATAAAATTCAAAATATTAACAATCACTTACAAAGCCATCCACAACTCTGCCCCCGGCTATATCTCCAACCTGGTCTCTAAGTATCACCCTAACCGTCCCCTCCGCTCATCCCAAGATCTCCTGCTTTCCAGCTCCCTCATCAACTCCTCCCATTCTCGCCTCCAGGACTTCTCCACAGTCTCTCCCATCCTCTGGAACTCTTTACCCCAACTTGTCTGTCTATCTCCCACCTTGACTGCCTTTAGGCGTTCCCTAAAGACTTATCTCTTTAGGGAAGCCTATCCCACCTCAACCTAAGCACTCAACTATCACGTTCTCAAACAATTCATCCCCACACAGCTACCTCCTCATGTATCCCTTTCATACTGTAAGCCCTCAGGGGCAGGGCCCATCTCTTATCATTGTATTGTGATTGTAATGTCTTCCTTACATTGTAAAGCGCTGCGCAAACTGTTGGCGCTATATAAATCCTATGTAATAATATGTCTTTCTCCAGAAGTCTATGATGTAATTCCAGCAAAATCTTTATATAGTATGAAAGGAAAGGAGGACGTATCACATCCATGTTCCTTACAAAAAACTAGAACATTAAAAAAAGGCAGATATAGACAACAAAATAATGTATCTGTGTATTCATTAATGCATCCATATATTTATTTTTTAAATGCAAGAAGTGCGAATACCTGGATTTGACTCAGCCTCTTGCATTCCCTGTACAGCAGAGCTCAGGCTGGGAGAGTGAGAAACAGAAGGAGCAAATGTGTTGTGCTGCAGTGCTCATGTGCCAACAAAAATCATGCTGATAGGAGGAAAGAGCAAAGTGATAGAGAGATGAGTTCATCAGCCTTCTGCTTTTCCTTTTATAGTCTAATCACAGGTTGGCAGAGGGACAAAACCTGTAAGGGTTACTTCAGTACAGCAGGGAAACAATCAGGTATCCTGCCCTGCTAGATAGGGCTGTACTTTGTTGCAAAGCTGTGTAAATGTCAGAGCTGGATGGACAGAAATTGAAATCCTTTGGCAGGTAGAACAGCTCCAATACATGTGTATTTGGCTGCTTGCATTAAGTTCGGAAATGTGGCCGCCATAATCCCGATACTTAAAGAACTATGAGATGAGTGATTTCCACTCACCTCATAGTTCTAGCCGACCTGTGACAATAAGACTGTCACAGGTCGGCTCAGTAGATCGGGAGGTGAGCGAACACATAGCGGCGTTCGCTCACCTTCCGATCCTGTCACGGCTCTCTGCCGTGACAGGGGGAGGGGCTGGATTCCCCTCTCCCCGCTCCGATCTGCCAGCGCTGACTGGCGGAACGGACGGGGGAGGGGGCGGGTACAGCTGGCTCTGCCTCTAGATAGGCAGAGCCAGCTGTCACTCACGCAGCTGGGCGGATCCCGTCATCTACGTCGGGATCCGCTCCGGCTGCAGCGCCTCAGTATACCGCTAGATGTAGCTCGCGGTATACTGAGCTTAGGGTAACGGGAGGACGCTAGTTTGTGTAAGGAGAACTATGGGGAAAAACACTGACCCCATAGTTCTCTAAGTATGAATATTTGGTTGTACACATCCTCTGTGCTGCAATTACAGATCACTTTAAAATCATATCAGGATGATGAAGGTTCATATGCAAAACTGTCTGTTGTCCCTTGCTCTTATTAATTATTTACTGTAATAAAAGGAAGGAGAAATTCAAATTCTATTGACACAGTCCTCACCGAGTGTTCTTTGTAGGACAGACTTCCTGTTGGAACAGATAATGGAGTGTGTGAGATAAACCCGTATTGATGATGTCAGGCTTCTATCTGAGTGTGTTTTATCTGCTGCTTATTTCAGGCGGAAGATCTCGCAGAGAACAGAGAACAGCCCGGCATCCCTCAGGTGAAGCAGATTGTGATTGTTTCCCAGGATTCAGCTCCGAACCCATCAGGTAATACAAAGTCCCCGGAATTGCTATGCATTGCAATGTTCTAGGTCAGGGACGCCCACAATTTTTCGTCTGGCAATCTACTTTTCAAATGACGAGCTCAATGAGATCTACCAATGAAAAAACACCTTTATTTAGAAAACAAGCAGATTAAAATCGTTACTGGGACTACTGCATCTCTGCCGTCTCTCCTCTCTCCCTGCCGTCTCTCCTCTCTCTCTGCCGTCTCTCCTCTCTCTCTGCCGTCTCTCCTCTCTCTCCCCCCTCTCTCCTCTCTCTCTGTCT